AGCTGAAAAGCAAAAATAAAACTCTAAAAATGGATTTTGTGTTTTCAGGTGTTTGTTTCTTAATCTAAAATATTTTCTTTTCTTTCCACTCATTTGATCTAATTTTGACACCGTACCCAAAACACCCCAGGTGCACCCAGGAGGCACCATGTTAATGAGATTTGACTTTGGTGACAAAGATGGAAGCAAATCTAAATCGAACCTTCAAACTTTTGATCATTTCAAGGACATATACAGTGCCATGAAAAAAAACATTCCTGATTCTTTCCTGATTTCATACATTTTCGCATTTTAGGCACACTTCAGTGGTTCAGATCAGCGAATACATCGAATACATAAGACCAATTTAACCCAAGTAAATACAAGACGCAGTTATCGAATGCTTTTCAATTATTAAGGGAAAAACGGCTATACAAACCTACCTGGCCTTATGCTAAAAAAAGGTAATCCCCCTTGTTGTTAAATCATGAATTAACTATGATTAGCTTTTTTCTTCTTTTCTTTTTTTTTTTTTAAGCAGAGTTCACTAGCCACACAAAGGCCTGATTACTTCCAGACCCATTTAATCAAGAAATCACTCAAATTGAACCTGTGGAGAAAATTCATAGATAATAGGTAAAGGATTTCAAAAAGCAACACTTAATGCCATATTCAAAGAGCGCAACAACGAAAGATCCAGGATGTTACAAAAGACGCCACAACATCTAAAGTCCTGCAGGCCTCACTTGTCTTAGGTATGGTCAATGTTCATGATACAACAATAAGAAGGAGACTAAGCATATTTGGTATCTTTGGGTGAGTTCCAGGGCAAAAATCACTGCTGATTTTAACACAAATACAAAGGCTAGTCTCGCAGTTGCCAAAATAAACATCTTGATGATCCCCAACACTTTTAGGAAAATATTCCCAGGATTGACCAGACAAAAGTTGAAATTTTGGAAGGTTTGAGTCCTGTTATGTCTGTCTTAAAACCAACCACATCATATCAGCAGTCAAATATAGTGGTAGTAGTGGGATAGTCTGGACTTACTTTGCTGGTTCAGCACCTGGACGACTTACTGTAATTGATACAACCATGAATTCTGCTCTCTACCACAAAATCCTGAAGGAGAATGTCCGGCCATCGGTTTGTACCATGAAGCACAAGCGCAAGCTGTGTTATGCAGCAGGACAATGATCCAAAACACACCAGCAAGTCCACATTTGATTGGCTCAAAATACAAAATGAATGTTTTGAAATGGTTTTGGAGCGGCCTTGTTAAAGTCCGGACTTAAATCATGTTGGGGTGATTTGGCATGACCACAAAAAGGCTGTTCATGCTGAAACCTTCCAAAGTGGCTAAAATAAAACAATTCTGCAAAGGAAAATGGGTCAAAATTCCTCCCTATTGATGTGAAAGACTCATTGCCAATCATCACAAATACTTTGTGGCTCATGCTGGTACATTGGGTCATGTAAGTTTGGATAGCTTTTTTCCCCTCCATTAATAAATGTAACTATTTAAAAATGGTATTTTGGATTTACTCAGGTTATCTTTGTCTGATATTAAAATTTGTTTCATTGGAAACATGCAAGTGTAACAAAATGGTAAAAAACTGATAAATCAGGAAGAGGGCAAGTCTTCATAGTGCTGTAAGTACCAAACACTACCAGCTTATTTTTATGTACTGTAGGCTTTCATTTATATACTCTTACTGATAACCAAAAATAGGCATGTAAGGTAGCTGTGCACATTGATGTTTAAGTAGAATACACATGTCTTTACACCTGTGCTACACGGGTTTGGTGAGAACACGAATTATCCTCTGGGGAGAAAGGGCTCTGGCTCACAAAGTGATGCATTTGCCCTAACTGTGTGTAACAGTTCTTATGCAAAACAGACCCATTGGCCATACCACACATAGGGATGTTGTACTTGCAGACTTATGCAAATGAATGACCTTTCAAAGAACATTTACATCAGGGTAAGAATTCTTATTTTTTTTATTATTATTATTCAGTAGTTTCTGTCAGATTAATAAAATTAAAATGAAGTTAAATGGTTTTTTTCCTTGTACCTATTTTTTTCCTTATTAAAAATCCTAGTTTTAATAAGCATTGTTACATTTGTTACAATGATAAGTTTGCAGGGATGAAAAGAGACTTTGAACAAGACTTTCAATTCAGTTCATTTGCTCATTAAATTATTAAAAAAAAATTCTTTTTCTGTTTCATGTTATGTGCATTCATTCTGTTACCTGCCATACATTTGTATATAGTGAAAAAGCAATAGTGTAAGCTTAAAAATCAATACATGTGAGATTAGCACAACTAAACAGTTTACCTCAATTAGGGTGGATATGTGAACGATGACATCCAATGAAGTCAATCGTTTTTTAACCTGCTGTATTCCATGTGACACCCCACATAGTAAGGAGGTCTGGCCCGGATCTGGTATCAAGTCGGCACTGCTGGCTGACTTCTGGCATGATAAGACATGTACCAGATATGGGCCAGGCCTGGCATAGGTGGCACTGTTTATGTGATGGCATGCCACATCTGGCTCGATTGTGGTTTGGTTCATGTGGCCCAGGCCCATAGAAAACAGGTCTGGCCCGGATCTGGCATCAAGCTGGCACTTCTGACTGACTGGTGTCATGGCAGGGTGTATGTCAACCAGATGTGTGCCAGGTCTGACAATGATGGTACTATTTATGTTCCTATTTTAGTTAGAAGACCCAAATGCCATGTTGTAATACTATAAAACTTTTGCATGTTCTGCCACATGTTGTTAATACATGGTTTGATTAAGGTAGGTTTAGCAGAGGTAATCCACACATGGGCCAGCACAGGACCACCAGTGCCTGCAACTGGCCTTGTGCTCGCCCATGTGTGGGCCACATCTGGCAAACCAGATCTGGGCGACCAAAGGGCCATCATTCTTTGCAGTATGTAGGCCATGTGTAAGCACATTGTGTGGGCCAGATCCGGGCCATACCAATTTTGCTATGTGGGTACATGTGATTATCGATAGTCCTTATTTGTTTCACTGTGACTTTAGCTTGAGTCCTATGAGCAAGAAGTTGTCCTGTCTCTTGGAGGCTGTACTTAACCGAGGCAGCAGCCTCATCGAAATCAATGTATGTTTAGTTTTTTTTGTTTGGTTGGGTTTTTTTGTAAGTAGTAGGATTTTATCTTGCAAGATCAGCTGTATGCAACTTGTGATGACAATCTCATGAGTGAAAACAACTCATAAAAAGAAAGGAATGAGCTTGGTTGATTGCCTTTTAAATTGAAATGTGCAAGCACGTCTTCAGTTTGTGTTCTTTAAATAAAAAACTTGATTAAATTTGCATATTTTTAGTTTTTGCATTATAGTATCTACAGCTGAACAGGGATCTGAAAGGTCACATACTCTTAGCAGGAGCTTGTTTTCTGGACAAAGATGATGGCTGCTGAATGAAGAGGTGTGAACACAAATCTGGTCCCAGGCTCTGTCTTTTTATCTAGTCACAAGCACCTAGTTTTTGTTCTTCAGTTGTTTTATCACAATTGCTTTCTTCTTCTGACTCCCAATATCGTCACATCTGTGCCATCATGTTTCTTTCATACCAAGGCAAAATTAATTGTGAGTCAAATATGATCAGGGTAGCAACTGAGATTGTCAACTATAGAAGAAAATGCTAAAACACAGTGCAGCTACTTATTGAAAACATGCAAAGACAGAGATGGGCATGACATGCATCCATTTCTTTCATAAAGCCCAACTATTAAAGTAAAAACTTTAAGGGATGCAGTTTATACAAATAAAGAGAATCATTTGCAAATCTGTATGGTGATTCTTTTATTTTATTTTATTTTTTTAATGTATTTTCATTATTTTTGTAACTACCTCAGTACATTTGCATGTGATCAGATATGTTAAAAATCGTAATATGCATTCAGCTTTGCAAGCTGATATTGGTAAATGAAAACACAAATAGAAGATATATAAATATGGTGTCTGAATAGTATTTTGTTTCAAAACATGGAAAATATATACAAATTATTAGTTAGAACTCAGCTTGACCTTTAAAAGGCTGTCTTTACATATGTTTTTTTTTTTTTTTTAGGTTCAGAATGACCAGGATACCTTTTCCTTACCTGGCTTTACTTACACTAGCATCAGCTAATGCATTAAACACTATGTGACCAATCACAAAATAAAAAATATCAACAACAGAACAGAATATTTTACCAGATCATAAAACTATAATATTATAAAAAAGACTGAGAGGTTAAAGACATGGTCTAAAAGTATTGGAAATGCAAATCATTTTGATTTATTTTTCATTTATTTGTACCTCTTTCCAGTAGCAGAGCACTTTATTTTCAGGTGTTTTAGTAAGAGAAGATCCTGTAATTACAGTTGGACTTAATTTATTATGAAAATAATATTTCGCATTGGGGGGGAAAAGTTAAATTGTATTGTTTCTATATGCTTTTAATTATATGTCTTGGAAGGAAAACTGAAACAGGCAAAAAGCGGTTTTAGCATGTTGAAAGAGAGATTTATAAATGTGGGTTCTGGTGGGCAAATACAGTCATTCCCCATAGATACTAGTGTCTGTATAGCTATAGTTGATTTTAATATACTTTATTGTTAGTGAAAAACTGAGGAAATCAAATATAGCTGCAAGCTTTAATACTGGCTTGTTTATCAAAATGATCACACAGCAAAAATGCATGATGGTTTTGTTGCATCACTGTTCCACTGTTGGTTTAATAACACCAGCCACTGTGAGTGAACATGCATACGTCAGTGTGAAGCAATATCTCACATTCATTATGAAACTAGTTTGGGAATTTTAAGCTCTGTGAAAGTGTAGGGACAAATGGCTGACAAGATGGCTTGTTGCGTGTTATTGTTAAGAGAACTGTGCTGAGGAGGTGTGTCCTGATGTTGGGTTTGCCTTGCAGCATGATGCCCTGCCATACGCTGCTGACTGGTGGGCCTGGTGTAAAGCAGTAAAGGAGAAGGCACTAGGACCCAGACAAGTGAGTGAGTAGGCAGGCAGAGTGGGGCTGAGTCACTGCATGTGTCTGAGAGGCAGTCAGAAACAGAGCAGAGCAAGGGAGCAGAGGTGATCTCACACTCATCAGCACAGGATAACACAACCATGATGGGTTGACTTGGGGGGAGGGGGGGCGGTTGGAGAGAGGAAGTGTGCATTCGCCACCACTTGCTCAGCTATGGAGACCAACAAAGTTCTTCATTTTGTGCCTTCGGGTAAGTGGATCAAAGCTCCGAAAGCTGCTTCTCAGCTGTGCACGACACATCGTTCACTGGGAGAACCTTGGGGTTCCCTACCTAGTGAAACCTGAGAACCCCTTGTGCAAAACATGTGCAGCCCACTTCCACCTCTGCTCTGAGGGATGGCAGATGTTTTTGTGCATGTGCTCTACTGTACATACTTGTTTTCGTGTTTGCCCTTTCTGTGTACTTAGGAATGTGGCAATGTTCCACTTGTGACAGAAATCTAATTTTTTATTTTCTTCTGAGGGGAGGAGGGGTTTTGGAAGACAGATCGCAGATGTTGTTGGGTTTTTTTTTTCCTTTTTGTATTGGTATGCATTTGTGGGGGGTTTTCTGTCTTGTTTATGTCTGGTATGCGGCACAAGAGGTTCCTGTGTCGTATATTATCAGTTAAGGAACTGAACCTTGAGAAACAATCACATTGCAAACCCACCCATAGAAAGCCAGTGTACCTGTCGAGCATGTACAGAAGGCATGCAGAGGAAACCTGGGATCACAATGCACTTTCTCAGTGTTGCACTGGTGGGGCTCATGAATGTAAGACTGTGTGCATTTGCATTCATGTGTGCGTGTGTGCATGGATCCATGTGTAGTGCCTGTATGTGTTTTTCTTTCTCTTTTTTTGCCTCTTGAAATGCGTGTTTATGTGTGTGAGATAAAGAATGACAGATTAGTGTTGGTGACAGCCACAGGAGAGCAGCGAGTTCTCTCCTCACTGAAAGTCCTCTGAGAGTCCATAGCCCATTTGGAGGTGTGATGCGGCTGCCGCTTCACTTTCATTTTGTCTGGGAAGACGGAGCAGGATGCTGTGTGTGTGTGTGTGTGTGTGTGTGTGTGTGTGTGTGTGTGTTAGAGAGAGAGAATAGGATGTTTTGAGGATAATACAAGTGGGGGAATCTGTGTGTTAGCGTGTATATCAGTGTGTTTTTGTTTGTAGTCTACAGTATTTTGTAAGAATGCATTTATATAGCTGTGTTGTTTTTGTTTGTTTTGTTTTTTTGGGAGGGGCGCTCATTTTTGTGTTTTTCACAGTTCAGATGTGTTTTGTGTCTACATATGTGTTTGTGCGTACACGAGTGAACATGTTTTTTGCACACTAACTACATCCCTGAGTATGTGCTGGGGTGTGATGGACACTGCTGTGGCTTGTCCTCTAAAAAATAATTTGCATCCATTTGCCTGGGAGCTGATTAGAGGCAGAGAGGGCAGATTTGATTCTTACAGCAGAACAATTTGGTGGTGTGAACATAAAGGTATTCAAAAGATTTCTTACTAGGGAGAGGGAGAGGTTTTTAAAAATTGCTGGTATTAATAGGAGAAAGTCTGCTATAGTAATGGCTTATCGGAAATTACTTTTGTGTTTGTGTGTTGTGTAATGTAACCTTGGCTTTAACAGCAGATTTTAATAAAACAAAACCTCTCTAAACATAACTGTACATTTATGAAAAATTTGGTAGCATTATTGATCTCTGTCGGGAATCAAAAATGCTGTCAAAAAGGTACATGTTCAGAAATCTGACAGCAGATATTTAGCTCCACCGGTGACTCAACAATTACCTTTCCAGAGGATTTTTCTTTCTTGCTTTCAACACTCACTTTACTGCCCTCTGTATTTTTGAATAAAGCAGAGCAAGCTGTTCCATGCAGCAAAACTCAGCATACTTAACAGGAACATGGAGTCCAAAATAATGTTCGTCTGAAGCTGACTGCAGACCTTTATATTGCTTTTGTCTTATATGAGCATTAACAAAGCTCTATTGCTGCGTAGTTTGGGGTAAGCACCCAGATTGTGTCATTATCAGTGGCAAACTGCTGACAGTTGAAAAAGAACAGCTATATAAAAGAGTTCAGAAATTAATTTTTACTTTATGGAGTAGTAAATTACCACAGACAGTCCAAATGTAATTGCACAGTGTGGACATATTGCAGTGGGTTTCAATACTGAGGCATAGTTTAACCTCACTGGTTTTTGTTCCCTGTTCATCACACGCTAGCAAATTCCTGCAGCTTGTAGGAGTGCAGTCTAACAGCATACAGAATGGTGCAATGATGACGGATATGATGGTGATATAAATTGAAATGTATTATAGTTGTTTTTTTAGTTTTAAATTTGTGCAGGAATACTTTGATTTAAACAAAAAGAACAGCAGTTGAAAAGTATTTTTATTAAAAGGTATTTTGTAGACTTTTTTTCAGTTAATAATTTGGTCCATGACCAATACAGTGGTTGAGACAACCCAACATGCTACTCTTCAAGCAAAAGCAATATGCATGCAGTATGCAAGTTCCATTCAAAATCATCCTCTTTGTTTCTTATGTGACTTTTGGAATACAAAATAAATGTTTTTGTTAGTAAATTACAAGCATCATTTCAGCCAGCGCAAGCTTAAAATATGTTGGCGTAATTTAGAACAGAAGCTCAGCATATTTGCATTAGGATAAATTAAGTACATCATTAATATGTGACTTGTTATGAATGAATAAAAACATTGCAGTTGATTTGCAAAACAAATTATTAAGACCTGTAAGTCCAGCCTTCACAGGGAAATGCTCATGTCTGCTGTGTTTTTAAACAGTTCATTTTAACACAAATAACCGTGACTTAAAACTCAACCTCGAGTCAAGCTGGTAGCGTGTCGATCTTCAGGTGGGACAGAGTCAGATAATCAGTGTTGCATCCGTGACCTGCAGTGCCAGAAGATATCAGCATGGAGGACACACAGTGGATGTGTGAATTAGTAGTTCGACCATGTGGAAGTGGAGGTGTGTGGGGAAGAAGATGGATGACGTGTTCCTGTGTGCATGCGTGCGTGTTTGTGCTGTAGATGTGACAGTGATCTCTGATCAGTATTCACCGCTGGCAACAGATCTCAGAAGCTCCAGCTTCTGAGCACAGCCATCTGGGCAGAGGAGAAACACACATTGACACACACATACAAATTATTATACAGTACCACACATACAAATACTAATACGCACAAGCACTGAAATGTCACAAAAACACGTCCTTGCAAGACACGACAAGACAGCCACACATGCAGCGCTGTCACACATAGGCATCGTTTGAAAATTCACGCACGCTCTGTGTATTTGCACACACTAAAGTACACTCACATACCAGTTATGTCAGATAATGTTCACGCACTCCACATAATTATAAATACAATTCATCTTATCTACATGCATCTACATACATTTGTTAGTTTATACACACACACACACACACACACACACACACACACACACACACACACACACACACACACACACACACACACACACACGTATATGCACTCCTTTTACATGCATGTTAAATTCCATAAAATATGCAGGCACGTTTGCAGAATTGTACAATGGGTAGGTGTGCATTTTTGGGGGAAGAGGATGATATTTTTTATTTATACTAAAATATATACATCACTGTTGGTCAGCTGTCTTCAGGTGTTGTATTCTAATATCTATTGTCATTTCTTAATCTTTGTCCTTGACAAATTACCTTACACTCTTTGTAATTTCAAAGACTAATAAAAGCTAAATATTAAAAACAAAAATCAAAATGAAATGGAAATAATATATAACTGGAAAATGGAAAGCTAAAAAACTGTTTGCCATTAAAAGTAGTATTAAGAAAGCTAAGAGAACTTCACTGCTGACATTTACTATACTTAGATTGAGATTAGAAAATGCTATAATGGATATTTTTGCAGTTGGGAAACAATCAGGGAAAAATGAATGACTTTAAAATCCGTATTGCAGATTTTATATTTTCTTGCAATTTTAATCTGTGTGGCTTTTGTGAGTTTTTTTTTTTTATTCTTTATTTTTTTAACAAAGCTTGCTATTTTCAGACCAACATTACAAAATGAGATGTGGTACCAGGTGTGGCCTAGCACCTTACTGCGTTTTCAAATTAATCAGGTGCACCTCACACCTCTTGGCCATTACATTTTCTACAGCATAATGGGTATTAAATTAAATACTAAATACCCATTTAAACTAGATCTTGTGGTTTAAAAAAGGCAAAAAAGAAAAGTTGAAACAAAACAGAATTTAGTGGTATCCACCAACAAGACCAATGGTCTAGCTTGCAATAATTTTTTAACAGTGAGGCAACACTGATGATGTAATTTTACCTTGACTTGCCTTTGTGGAAGTGTTTAACAGCAACCGACCAAATTCTTCTTTTGTTGTTGTTTTTTCTTTTCTTTTAATTAATTTTGCTATACTATATGTTAGAGCTGCACGATTAATCGTTAGAAAATCGCGATCTCGATTCATACTTATGTGCGATCTCATTTCCAAATGACAACGATTTAAAGACGACGACGACTGTACCGCATTTTGATCCGGGACGTAATCTGCATGAAAACAAGCGCTCACTCTTCCTGCTCAACAAATGACAACGGCGGAGCCTTATACCACGTGATACAGAAGCTGTGCCGTGTGATGCTAAAATTAGCAGGGAAAAAACAACGGAGAGCACGTCAGGGATGACGAGAGAGTGACAGGAGAAAATCCGTCCCGGTCAACCACCCAAACATTAATAACGGGAACCTTATACAGCGCTTCCCTATACCCGTCGAACTCCCGCAGGCACAAAGAAATTACGGAGGCTATTACTTATCAGCTGACCAAAGATATGGCTCCCATCAACACTGTGCAAAACGAGGGATTTAGGAAAATGATCAACACCCTAGACAAACGCTACACAGTGCCGTCCCGCAACTATTTTTCTATTGTTGCACTACCTGCTCTATACACGCAGTGTCGAGCAACGGTGGAGATGGAATTTCAAGCAGTACAACATTTTGTGGCAACAACAAAACGTGAGACATTTGTTGTTTTTATGTTTATTTATTGTTTTTATGTTCAGTCTCAACTGTTACGAAGTTGATGTGCATTTAATAAGTGCAATAAATATTTATACTGGAAAAGAAAATCTTGAGAGAATCGTGATCTCAATTCTAAGCAAA